GAGGGGGGGGGTCTGAAGATGAAGAGACAGAGACGTAGACAAAGAGAGAGAGACAAACATGACGTTCTTTACTCTCTGGTCCCACTGCAGTGCACCCTTTCCTCAAACGGCCAGCAGGGGGACTCATGTTACATCAGTGACTCAAACCCCCGCCCCTTCCCTTTGTGTGTGTGTGTGTGTATATGTGTGTGTTTTATATTGGAAATATCAGTGTCTGGTGAAGTGGCAGAAAAACGTCAGTTTTTTACATCATCACTTCAGACAATGACCTGTTTCTGCCTCCTGTGGTGGAGCGGTGGAGCAGTGGACGAGACTGAGGGGGTTCAAACACAAAACCTGAACTGATGTTGTTGTTGTTTCTGACGGTCGTCGTCAACGCACTGAAATCAGATCAATCAGAAATAGAGTCCCTGATGATGAAGACTGTTTATTTGAACTGAACTTTTTTTTTTCTTATTTCATAAATACATTTGATTTCATTTGAACACATTTTAATTTCTTTCTAAATTCACGGTTGTGTTTTCGTGTCTCCCTCCTCTTTAGATCCACATCCTGGAGAACGGAGAGGTGCGAATTTTCAGCCGCAACCAGGAAGACAACACCAGCAAATACCCTGACATCATCGCCCGCATCCCTAAGGTACAAACACACACACACACCAGTTTATACCAGACGTGGCCTGAAGTGTATGAACATCTTTCTGTCACATTAAGTTCAGTTCATTTATAGTGATGAATCAGGATTAATCATTAATGATCACGATTAATCACACGGTTGTTTCTTCCCTCTCGGTCTTTGACACCGTGTAGATTTCTAAACCCTTTTTTTTTTTTTTTTTATAAATCCCTCTGAGCTCGGCTCACGTCTCCTGCGTCTCATTTCCACCTCCTCTGTCCTTTGTCTCCACCTGCACCTCCTCCTCAGTCAACTGAACCACTTCACTTCCAATTAAATCTATTTTTTTTTTTTTAAAAGAGAGAATTTTCACTTAAGGTTTGAGGAGTGTAACGTCTCCGCTGGCAGGAAAATTACAGAAAATATTAGAAAAACCACATGAGTCGTTCAAATTAAAGCAGCATTAAATCAGTACTGTAGCATCAGCAGCAGTGTAGCATCAGCAGCAGCTTAGCTAGCTCACCAAATTAGCGAACTCCTGCTCCAGTGTGTGCAGAGGGAGAGAAGCC